ATCGCTTCAACGTAGCTTGATCGGAACCCGCCCGAATATCTTTCGAATTCGAAAGGGATTCGGGCGGGTTCCGATCGGCAGCCGATTGATACTCCTGCCCTCCACCAGCTTGGAAGGGAAGGGGAGGACGTCATGAAGCCGATGCCGCCGCCTGGCGCGTTCTTCTGGTGAGCTGAGGTGGGGGGTCGGGCGGGAAGCGGCAGCATGATCTGATAGCACGCCATCATGGGGAAGGACGGGGAAGGTATGGAGGGCAGGGGAAAGGGCTGGGAAGCAACGGGGAGAGAGGGGGTGAGGAGTGCGAGGGTAGTGGAGGATGGTGGGCCTGAAGGGGAGACTGGATGAGGATAAGAGGAGTCGCGACCCGAAAATCGGAGGGCAGGGACTACCTGGGCTGAGCGCCGTGATCGTGGCGCAGCTGCTGGACTGTCCTCTCGCTGCCCGTCAAGGGCCGCTGCGCCCGCCGTGCATTGCAGGGAGGGTCCAGCTAGGGAGTTTAGGGTGGGTCGACCACCGACCCTTCAGCGCGAAGCCAGGCGGTGGGCTGCTTGGCGCACAATGAAAACTTAAGGTCCCCTCTCGGCCAGGGCCCCCGAGGGGGCCTCGGGAAATGTTGCATTCTCGGGTGCTCCCCTGGGCTCCCCGGTGAGCCCCCCTAATTCCCTTAATTCCCTCCCTCCCTTCCCTGCTCCCTCCATCCCCTGCTCTCATCCTCTCCCTCGCATGCCGTCTCTCCCCCTCTCCATGTATCTATAGCCGTCGAGGCTGCAATCCGATTCGACTCCAGCGTCTAAGTTCCCCCCTGTATCTCCAACTCCGTGTGCAGATCAGCTTTCGGCCAGACCATCATGGACGGACAGCCGCTGCCCACCTGCTGGAACGAGCACCCCCCCCTCATCGAGGTCAGCGATTCGTCTCCTGAAGGGTTCATGTGGCCTAAATCTTTGGACCCCTGTGCCTACCCAAGACACTCTCATACTCTCCCCCGCCTCCTCCTCCCCTCCATCCTCCTCCTCTTCCTCCTCCTCCTCCTCCTCCTTGTGGTTTTCTGTGTTTGGAGTGTTGGCTGCCCCAGGCAGCGTGGCGCCGATGCAGCCAGGATGGCCCGTGCGGCCTCGGCGGAGCCAGATGCAGTGCCCGTGCGCCGCGTGTGCTCAAGCGGGCGCTCATGGGTGCTCCGAGGCGGCATGCCGACCAGCCAGATGCCGAACGGCAGCTCCGAGCCAGTCGAGCGCTTGCCGCACATCGAGGGCCGCGCCTCGGACGACACGCTGCGCATGCGACTCGAGTTGGACGACCGTGCTGCGATGGAGGCTCAGGGTCGCGGGGGCTACTTGGCCGCCCCTCCGCAGGGTCGCGAGGAGACTTCAACCCTCGTGGAACAGGATGGGCCGTATGGGCCGCCAGAGCAGCCCGAGGGGATGCGCCTGATGCCGACGCGCACGGAGGTCGGCTTCGCGGAGCCGCAGCCGAGGCCGCGGCCGACGGCGGCTGGCGGGCCTCGCGCGCCGCAGATGGCTGCAGCCGTCAGGCAGGCGCCCGTGCGGGCCGCGGCCCAGGCGGGCGATGCCAGCGAGACCGAGACCGCCCACTCGCGGAGCCCCCGTCGCTCGCTCCCGCATGGCCCGTCTCGCGGCATGCAGCGTGGCGTGGGCCCCACGTCGCGCAGCGGCGAGCCCCCGGTGGCAGTAGCCGCGGCGCCAGCATCGCACTCCGAGGACGCCTTTTCGGCGATGTCGCAGCACGTGTTTCAAGATACACGCGACATGCCTCGCGAGTGCCAGAGCCAGCTGCCCGACCGTCAGCCGTCGATCGCCGAGAGCTACCACGATAGTGCGGAGGAGCAGCAGCTTCAAAATATCGAGAGCCAGCTGTTCGAGCAGCAGTCGCAGACGCCATCGTCTCAGCACCAGGCGAACGCGTTCTTGGTGCTCGCACCTGCGCAAGTGCCGACGCGTGCAGCTGGGGCCCCACACCAGCCGTCTGAAGCTGGGATGGTCACGCCACCGCAGCCGCTTGCAGCTGCGGCGCCAACGGAGCCGTCTGCAGCTGGGATGGTCACGCCACCGCAGCCGCCTGCGTCTGGGATGGTCACGCCACAGCAGCCGCCTGCAGCTGGGATGGTGACGCCACAGGAGCCGCCTGCAGCTGGGATGGTCACGCCACAGGAGCCGCCTGCGTCTGGGATGGTCACGCCACAGCAGCCGCCTGCGTCTGGGATGGTCACGCCACAGCAGCCGCCTGCGTCTGGGATGGTCACGCCACAGGAGCCACCTGCAGCTGGGATGGTCACGCCACAGGAGCCGCCAGCAGCTGGGATGGTCACGCCACAGCAGCCGCCTGAGCAGCTGGTCGCATTCAACTTCGACGACATCCCCAACGTGCCCGTGGATCAGATGGAGCTGACGCTACAGTACGTGATGGACGTGGAGCTGCTCAAGACGCCCCAGCACTTGAGGCAGCCAGCGGGCGACTTCACGCCTACCAAGGTCAACAAGCC